GTGTGTGTGTGTGTGTGTGTGTGTGTGTGTGTGTATGTGTAGGTGTGTAAGGAGTAGGACCACGTTAAAGATGGGACACTCCTTTGTCATATTTAATTTTCTACTGCACAGAGAGCCAGGATGGTAATCCTCTAAAGACCGAGAAAGGAGAGGGATGGGAGAGCCTTTGGTTCTAGGAAAGACAGCCTTCTCCCTGAGCCCCAGGTTCCCACCCATGATCAGACTAGATCTCTAAGGGCCCTTGCTTATTGTATGCAGGGTCTCAGGTGCTCTGGAAGGTTCAGAAAGTGACTAGGGACAGGCCTTATACTATGTGACCTGGACCCAGACAGCCCTGTTTGGTCCGGAGTTCCAAGGCTTCTAGACCGGGTTGTCCTTCAGGCTGTTTAACTTCCAGCTCTGGAGGAATCAGAGCGTGGGTACCATGCAGGTGCCTTAGCTTATGGGGCTCTGGTGAGTGGGGCGTGGGGACAGCTTTGCATCTGAGAGTTAGATGGATGAAGAGCTGGGTCACAGTCCTGTTCCACCCATCTTAGCTGCTAACCTCCATTCATAAAGGCTTAGAAGATGGTTGCACAGGGAAGATTCCAGAGAAGGAAGGGAAGGTTGGGGCTCTCAGGGTTCTGCTGCACCCCAGATCTCAAGGGTGACCCTCATATCCCCAGGCCCGGCTTAGAAGATGGTTGCACAGGGAAGATTCCAGAGAAGGAAGGGAAGGTCGGGGCTCTCAGGGTCCTGCTGCACCCCAGATCTCAAGGGTGACCCTCATATCCCCAGTCCTCAGAGCCTCTTCCACTGACAGCTCTCCAGGGAAGGCCTGGGTGTGGCAGGTCCTACCCACTCCCAGACTCAGAGGAGCATCAGAGGCTTGGGCCAGGGGTTTTCATGCAACCTGGCAGCCCCCCTCCTTTGACCTCTGGTCTAGTCTTCCATCCCCGTCTTCACAGCTACCCAGCACCAATTTCCACCACCTCCTGAACATGGCCTTCGGGGGGACTGTGCCCTAAACTTTACTCTCCATTAACCCTGCAAACTGCCCCCCAGGACTGGGGTTCCTACGCCAGTGGCTCTCAACCTTCCAAACGCTGCAACCCTTTAATACAGTTCCTTATGTTGCGGTGAACCCCAACTTTGAAACTATTTTTGTTCCTACCTCATAACTGTAATTTTGCTATTGTTATGAATCATAATGTAAATATCTGTGTTTTCTGATGGTCTTAGGTGATCCCTGTGAAAAGGTCACTTCAGTCCCTAAAGGTCATGACCCACAGGTTGAGAACCACTGCTCTGGAGTATTCACAGCTTTTCTACCATGGTTCATGTCTCTACTCTACTAAAATGGTATCCAGCCTATAAATCACATTCAGTCTATTGTCTTTTATTTTACTCATTTCATGTTATTCTGAGTCCACTAGCTTCCCATATTGAGAACTATCTTTTATGTCCAGTCAGAAGTTGTCTAATCCCATTAGGGACATCCCAAAACCTCTGAAAATCAGTGCTACCTTGTTGTGGATGGAGGACACAGCTCTTGAGATCCTCATGAGAAGGAGGAGATCATTACCCTCAAGAGTTTGACTATACAGAAGAAATGTAAATATGATTGCTGAATGTGGAAGACAGTGTTCAGAGGCAACTATGATGGACATTATTGGATGATAATCTAGCTGGACAGAGGCAATAATTGAACACCACTGAGCCATGAAGTGTGTGGAATGTTACCTGGAATGTGGATGGGGGTTAAAAAATGATAATACCCAATCGCTGTCAGTTTGGATGCTAGACAAAGAGAAATAACTTAAAACTGACTAGAAAATGTTATCTCTCTGTCTCTGTGTGTGTGTCTCTCTCTCTCCATCTCTCTCTGTGTCTGTCCATCCTGTTCTTTTTTCTCTTTCTCCCCTCTTCTTCTATTTCTTTCTCTATCTCTCTGTATCTGTCCCTCCCTGTCTCTTTTTCCCTCTTTCTGTCCCTGTGCTTGTCTGTCTCTGTCTACCTTTCTGTCTCTCTATCACTTTCTATAGCTCTCTCTTTCTGTGTCTGTATCTCCCTATATCTATCTGTCTCTCTATGTGTTTCTCTCTGTTTCTCTGTCTCTTTCTCTCTCTTTATGCTGGCTATCTTACATAGTGACAAAGGGTATTGTATAGAGTGATGGGCAAAAAAGACATCAATAATATTACTCATAGTTGTTCCCTGCATACTATAATACTAATTTGCCTTTCAAGATGTACCCACTGTAGAATAGTGGCATGATAGTTATGGGATTACCAACTGCTTTCTGATTGGATATGAGGCCCTCTGCACAGGAGAGGTTTTGTGCCTGGGACTGTAATCCTGCCCCCAAAGTCCATGACCATGGAGATCATAGGCCCCCAGGGAAGAACCCACTAGCTAGTGTTGTCTTGTTAAGTATTCACATTGTCAAGCTGTCTTTGAATCATGTTTTACCTACACATCCCTGTTACTTGTAACTCTGATCAGAGACTGAAGAGAGAAGCTTCAGTCAGTCAGTGGTGGTTTAACTGTCTCATAACTTGTAAAAGTACTGAGTATAAGCAATACAGTGTGCTCAGATGTGACTGAGTCATCTATATCAACCAACCCACCCACCCCTGCTTTACAGGCTCACACACAGGTTCACACACAGGCACACACACAGGCACACACAGGCTCACACACAGGCTCACACACAGGCTCACACACAGGGACACACACAGGCACATACACAGGCACACACACAGGGACACACAGAGGTTCACACACAGGCTCACACACACAGGCTCACACACACAGGCACACACACAGGCTCACACACACAGGCTCACACACAGGCTCACACACAGGCACACACACAAGCTCATACACAGGAATAGAGAAGTTCAAGGAAGAGCCCAGCTAACCTGTTCCTTCAGTTACAATGGATCATGCTTCATGAACTCATCTTGAATTGAAAACATCTGAAGGGGAGCTGCTTTTAGCCTCTAACCTCGCACACATCACAGTTTAGCCCAGCTGACCTTCAGCATGCCCAGGTCATTTCCATTAGTCCTTGGTTGGGCAGAAATACAGGAAACTAAGTCCCTCACCTGATACCCCAGGTACCATCTCTAGTGATGCAAACAAACCCAACTGTGCATGCATGGACACATACACACATGTATGAACGCACACACAGTCGGGTGTTGAGAATTGTGACAAGACCCAAAAAGGGCACCCTCCAGAAATGCCTGGTGTGGTGAACTGAAGGGTTCAGTTGCTCATCCTGAGTGGCTTGGAGCTGCCTACTCAGCATCCTGAGAGACAGTGCCTCCTAGTGCCTGTCCAGCTTGAATAGAAGGCTGGTTTCTGCTTTCCCACCATCGCAAAGTGGATGATCATACGTTGTGTCCTCCCAACCTGGAGACACTTGCAGTGATAAAGGGATGTGAAAACTCTGACAGAGGCTGGCACTCTGTTGAGAAGAAAGGATGGAGGCATAGTTACGCAAGGCCTTTAGGAGAGGGGCCTGCTGCAGAGTGGGGTGGAGGGGCGGCATTTTGTGCAAAGGGACATCCAGAGCTGTGTGCTGAAACTGTGGAGCCTGGAGACCAGGAGATGAGCCTGACAGGGAGGGATGGTCCTTGTGGCTCTTCCAGAAGAGCCTGGGCCTGACTCCATGCAGACCACTGGTGTTTTCAAACAGGCCTCCGTTTCTGAGGGCTGGACTATGGGTGTGTGCCACCACACCAGGTTCATTCCATGCTGAGGACAGAGCCTGGGGTCTCTTGCATGCTAGGCGAATGCTCTACTAACTGAGCCACTTCTCTAGCCTCGTGAGCTCTCTCTCCTTTTCTTCATTTCTCCCTTCCTTTCTTTGATGTGGAATGTGTGTGCATGTATGGATGAACTCACTGCTCAGGCACATGTGAATGCCTGAAGGTGACACTGTATGTCTTCTGTCTGTCACTTCTGAAGCAAAGTCTCTCTCTGAACTTGGATCTCATCTATCTATCTTATCTGTCTGTCTATCTATCTATCTATCTATCTATCTATCTATCTATCTATCTATCTATTGGCTAGACTGCATGGCCATGGAGTCCCTAAGATCTCTGTCTGTCTGTCTGTCTGTCTGTCTGTCTGTCTGTCTGTCTGTCTGTCTGTCTGTCTGTCCCCTCTATCACTGGGGTTACAGATACTCACTGTCATACCTAACTTTTACATGGGTGCTGGGGATCTGAACTCAGGTCCTTATGTTTGCCCAGCAAGTACTTTATCCATCCACCATCTCCCATGCCCACTCACCCTTTTATTGGAAAGGAATTGAGGCTCATGGACTTGGGGTGTCCTCACGGGTTGCTCCGTGGTAGTGTCAGACTGGGACTCTGTTCTCGGGTTTCCAAGCTCCTTGCCTGTGGTCCACGGCCTACTCCATAGACTGGGCTTCATCTCAGACTAACAGGCATGTGGGGTGGGGGCCTGATCAGGGCCTGGCCTGCTGGGGTCTCTGGTGACTCTTGGGGCTGAGGGCCAGTCACTATCTGCTGGGGTGCACACTCACTGGCTTTGTCCACCTCCTTCCTCTTGCTGCAGGGGAGGAGAACCAGCCAGGATGGCTGTGTCCCGATGAGGACAGGAAAAGCAAAGCCCCGTTCTGGTGCCCCATCCTGGCCTGCTGCGTCCCTGCCTTCTCCTCCCGGGCCCTCAGCCTGCAGGTGAGTGGACCTGGCATGTGGTAGCTGTGGTGGCGCTGCCTAGCCTGGGAGAACCAGTGTCCAGGTAGTGTCCACTGTAGCTGGAAAGGCCCAGCGTCTCAGTCTAGCTTACTGACCCAGGGGGCCAAGCCTTTTTTGTCGTTCTGTGAGTCAGCATTCCCACCAAAAGAATGGGTGTGTATGAATGACCAGCACGGGTCATGGGGTGGAAAATTCCATTATTTTGTGATAGTGAATACCAGCAACCTCATCTGTTGAAGGCCTGACTCGGGGATTGTGCCCAAATTGATGCCACCAGGCCAGTGCTGGCTTTGGTGGCCGCTGCCCTTATCCTGGGATGCTCCGTGGCCATCATGCCCTCTCACTTGCCCACAATGCTCTTCTTGTGTTTAGCTGCACTTGTTGTAATAGTGATTAGAATAGAATTTCACAGGATATCAAAGCCCAGACAGGTCTTCCAAAATGACAGCCAATAAGGGGTTGGTTTAACTTGATTACGGTCTCCGTGGTGTTAACCACCAGGAAGCTCGCCCCACGTCCGTCACTTGTCCCTTGTGTCCTGGCAGAGCCCACCCCTCCATCTGGAGCAACTGTTGTCTATCCTCTCCCAAGCAGATGAGGACCCTGAGCTCTGGGACGGGCGAGCGAGCGTGGGACCCAGCACAGATAAATAGTCGCAGGAGCCGTGCGGGCTGGGCTGTAGACTGGGGCTCTAAGAGCTGAAAGAGCACCCATGCGATGTAAGTTCATCGTTCGTTCCTCTACTCATCTGTGGGTTCACAGGTCATCTCTCTGTACTAGAACTGGGAGTGCACTGGTGACCAGGACGTGCGAGGTTCCCACCCCATGCAGCCTTCAGTCTAGTGGACAAAGACAGGCGGGACCTCAGCACGCAGAAGGGAACTGAAGGAAATAGCGAGTATAAGGCAGAGACATGGCAGGCATGGAAATGGGGGCCGCATGGTTAGCGGGTGCAGGGAGGGCCCCTTGGAGGACGTGGCATAAAGAGAGATTCACAAAACAAGAAGGACACAGACCCCAGAGGGCCCGGGGACTCACATTCTAAGTCAAATCAGTGTGGAGCAGATAAACCAAAAGGAGTTGGCAGGGAACTGGACGGAGCTTGGACTGGTTGTCTCTCCTATGTGCCATCTAGACCTGTTTCAGTGTGAGTTCTGGAGGGGGCATTGAGACTATTGCTCTGGATGATGATGAGGCCTGTCGTTGGGCGAGGGAGGCTATGACAACCTTGTAGTGTTTCATTCTCAGAGCCCTGACAGACCGAGGCAGGCAATGGTGGCATCTGGATCTTGATTTAAGGCTTGGGGCTCAGTGCAGGGGCCTGCCAGAGGTAGAGTCAGGCTGGGACCTGGCGGCCAGGGCTTGGGACCAGGGGGAAGTAGGAAAGACTCTCAGTTCTGCTGCAGAGTGAGGCTTCACCCAGCCCAGCCTCTGATCAGGATAAAAAATAAAGTCATGCACTACTTAGCGGTTATTTAATTTTTTGGAGATTTATTCATTATTTTGATTTGTATGTATGGATTTTTGGCTAGCATACAATGTATGTGCACCACATGCATGCAGTGCCACATAGGGACCAGGAGAGGGCACCAGATGCCCCTGGAACTGAAGTTAGAGATGGTGTGAGGCCACCTTGTGGGTGCTGGGAACTAAGCTCATGCCCTCTGCAAGAGCAGCCAGTGCTTTTAATTGCTGAGCCACCTGTCCAGTCTCCCCTGTAATACTTTTTTTTTTCTGGCTGTCCTGGAATTCACTCTGTAGACCAGACCAGACTGACCTCTAATTTAGAGATCCTCCTGCTTCCCCAGTGATGGGATTAAAGGCTAGGCCATCACTGCCCAGTTTTCCCATGTAATACTTAAAAAATTATCCTTCAGGGTATGGCCTGTATGTGCTTTTTTTTTTTTTTTTTTTTTTAAAGGGAAGTAATGAAGGACTGAGGGTTACCTGTGGGCCTCGGTGTGGAAGCCAGAGTTCATGGAGATGAGACTGTTAGGGTCTGTCCTGTGTTAGTTACACAAGGCTAGTCCTGGTGTGTGGCCTTCGTAGTGGGGACTGGAGTCTTCTGCCACCCCTAGGGTCTTAAGGTTTCCTGATAAACAGTCAGACCTGAGTCAGGCCTCATAGGTCAGACACAGATTGTAGGGTTCCCAAGTGGCTTTCTGTTCCCAGAGTCTCCTTGAAAGAATTGACACCTGATGGGAGCCATCTGCCACCCTGAACCTGGGAGGATGAGGAAGGCCTATGTATCTCCTCACTTGGAGTTGCTGGGGCTCCAGAATATGTGGGCTGACAGAGTGCTCAGCCCATGCTCAGCTGTTCCCAAGGAGTCCCCATGTCATCTGAGAGAGCCATGCATGAACCTCTGTGGGTAATGGGCCCAGAGGAAGAGATCCTGGAGGACCTGCCAGAGCCCGCCTGGCCCTATTTTCTGGACTCCTTTAGCTCTGCTTTGCCCGCCTCCTACATAGCCTAAACAGCTGTGCCCCATCAGCTCGGTGCTGACAGCAGGATGAATTAGAGCGGAGACTGCCAGCCTTGTCCAATTACTGTGGGAACAGATGTGCATGTGAGCAGCTGCCCAGGCTCTTCTCCCACTCACGTGGGCTCTCAGGTGGCCACATGAGCTGGCAGCCAGCCTATCTCTTCCCTGGGAAGGCCAGAGTTTGGCAAGGGAATTGCTGGTCCTGCCTCTTTCTTGGGCAGACAAACCCCTGCTGTAGCTGCTAGGTGAAGTGTGTTCTGGGCTCTACCATTTCTGGGGGTCAAGGAACAATGCTCTTCTTGGAGCTGACAGCTGCGCCCATGCTGGACCATGCCAGACCTCTGATTGGCAGGGGAACTGGCTGTGGGGGAGTGTAAGAGGAGGCTGACTGGGAGTCTCTCTGCCTTCGTGCCCCAGCCTGGAATGCCCAAGTCATGTGACACTAGAAAGCTGTTAAACTCATAGTATAAAGCCACATCTTTAGTATCAACCGGAGAGGCCATTGAGGCCCCTGGCTGGGTCACAGTGAGGACTAAATGGTACCGTTAGGGTCTGGGGAGATGGCCTAGAGGTAAATGCTCACCATGTGAACATGGATTTGATCCCTAGCACTCATGGAAGAGAAAGATGGGTGTGTAGTGTGGGCCTGTGGTGATCCCAGTGTGGGGAGGTGGAGATGGGTGGGGCTCTGGGCACAGTGAGATACCTGGTTTCAAAAAATCAGGTGGAAGGTGGTAGAGGACCAGTGTTGACTGCTGACCCTTATACACACATGTACACACGTGCACATGCATGTATGTGCACCACGACACACCTCTGACCCTTGTACACACGTGTACACATGTGGACATGTACACCCATGCACATGCATGTATGTGCCCCACGACACAGTTGTGGGTGATGCACTCAGGGCTCAAGGAACAGAAATGAAAATCTCAGGACATTTTTACCCCAGGAAGAATCCCCAAAGACTTGACCACTGGGATAGCCTGAGGAATCTCCTTGGGCTCTTGGCTCTGTTCCAAAGTAGGGGGCCTGTCCCTAGAGGGGCAGCAGGAGGTCAGGGGAGGACATGCCACAAACCAGGTCGATCTCAAGGCCTGCCTGGGAACAGGCTTGGGAGGGTGGAGTGTGTCCATTCTGAGGGCCTTTGATTTTTAAAATGACATGTATTTATTTGTGGGGGGCTTGCCATGGTGCACACATGGAGGTGTGAGGACAGTTTGTTGGTGTTTTATCATTCCACCATGGGGGTTCAGGGCATTGAACTCAGGTCGTTGGCCTTGGTGGCAAGTACCTTTACATGCTAAGCCATCTCTCTGAGATGCCTTGTGGAACTGGGCTTGCAGCCTGGCCCCAAGGCGTCTATAGCCAGACAGCTTGGTTCTCAGCTTCCCAGCCCAGCAGCCTCTGTTCTGATGGACACCGGCTCCATTTTCCAGAATGGCTGCAGGTTGTTTTCTGTGGCTATGGCAAGACACTTGAGGTCGGATAGTGTTTGAAGAAGAGAGGTCCATGTGGACCACAGCCTTGGGTGCTGACCATCTAAAGACCAGGCAGCCCCAGTCCGTTCTCCAGTGAGGTCTCAGGGCAGTGGCATGGTGATGGGGTGATCACATGTGCAGACCTTCCTTTGGCGAAGCTAGAAGCTGGGAGGCTCAGGGGCAGGCTGGGTCAGTTGCTAACAGCCTACTCCTGGGGGAACTGGGGTTCCATGAGAACATCAATGTCTTCCTAGGGTAATGCATCCTTAGCCTAGTCACCTCCTTGTGTCCTCCCCTTAAAGGTCTCACTACCCTCACACTGCCCTCCTGGGGACCAGGCTTCCAGAACTCGAGCCTTTGGGGGACACACTGTAACTGTGTCTGTGGCACAGCAGTTGGGAACCCTAAAGACTGCTGGCTGGGTAGTTGCTCTCCTGTGGTGCATGTGAAGCTCTGGAGAATTCTATGTAGGCTTTAAAGCCACAGGGCTGCTGGGTGCTCACTTACATACAGGAAGTTGATGTGTCAGCAGGTGGGTGTCAGGCTGGCTGAATGCAAAGTTAACATCCTTTCACCAGCCAGGACCCTGTCACTTCATGTGCCTGGCTTTCTGTCAGGAGCAAGACTGGGGTCCAGACACTGGTCCTCCCGGCCCGCTCCCCACCCCCCGCAGGTTTTCTCTGTATAAACAGTCCTGGCTGTCCTAGAACTCACTTAGTAGACCAGCCTTGTCTTGAACTCACAGATATCCACTTGCCTCTGACTCCCAAGTGCCAACATTGAAGGCGAGAGCCACCACCGTCCAGCTAAGGACATTGGTCCCTTAAGGAAGCATGCAGCTATTACCACCATCTTAGACCCATTTCTGCCAACCAGCTGACATCAGGGCCTGAGGGAATAGCCATGGAGATGCCCAAGTCTGGGCTGCGATGATGTCTTCTTCCCCAAGAGGACAGGAATGGCAGCCTGGCAGAAAGGCTGAGGCCCTCCAGCCAGCAAACCCATGGAGGCAGAGGTTCTGGAGGCTTCTCACTTAGTGTGTGAGCCCTGGATCCCCAGGTGGGAAGAAGTGGAAGACCCTAGTGCTGAGGTCTCTGGCTAGGTGCTTCCGGGTAGAACTTCAGTGAGAGAGGAGAGAGAGAACAACCAATCAGGAATGGAAGGTCTGAGTCTAGTCCCGCCTCTGCCCCTAAATATGCTGTGCAACCTTACGCCATCATGTCCCCGCTCTGAGCTTCAATCTGGCTAACTGCTACATGAGGAGGGTGTCTGGGGCAGCTTCTGGCTTTCTTGCACATGACCTTTAGGAATCTTGGTAGAATGTTCCAGCAGAACAGGACTGTCAGGCTCTTGACCAGCAGAGGGCAGCACGTGCCTGGGAAAAGTCCCAGTGTCTCTATGTCTCTTGACACAGCCCTTTCCGGCTGGCCCCGCTGCCCTTATAGTGCTGTACTGTCCAGAAAGACAGGCTTGTCCAGGTCAGCACCTAAAACAAGGCTCTGAGAGGCCACCTAGTCAGGGCTTGAAGCAATAGATGCAGAAGGTATAGTATAAGGAGCCAGTGGCTCTCAGTGATAGCTGGCTGCTGTCAAGTCCCTGATCTCATGTTTCCCTTACACACCCCACCCAGTCCCCGTCCCGGTGGGTCCTTCTGTGGAGGGGTGATGGTGCAGAGCCCCTTACCTCATTTTCATCTCTTTACAGCTCCTTGGAGGCGTGTGGGAGGCCATGGGGGTACAGGAGCAAGTGGGACCTTGTCACCCACTTCCTCTGTGACCTAGTGCTGGCCCAGGCCCTCTGTGGAGTTTGTCTTTTCCACCTATGAAATAAAGTGCTTGGATGGGGCCAGAGAGCTTAGTGGTTATCCACAAGCCTTATCTAGAAGCCGCCTGGTACCAGAGACTATGGGCAGGTGTACAGTATCATTCAGGCCTTTTCTGGACAGAAGGTTCTAGAAGAGTGATGATCAAATATGAAGCATAGCAAACTATGCATGTGGCCTGTGTCACTTTCTTGGCCCCCACCCTCAGGGATTCTCATGGGGGGTGCGGAGATAGGCTCAGAACTCTGTCAGATATTGGCATTTTGGCACCTCACTGATTGACCTGCCCTTACTGTCTCTGTCTCTACAGCTTGGGGGTCTGGTCCACAGTCCTGTCAACTGTCCCCTGTTGGGCTTCTCAGCTGTCAGCACTTCCCTTCCACAGGGCTACCTCTGGGTAAGTAGTCCTTTTGCTCAGCCAGGGTGGGGTGGTGGTCTATCCTCAGGATGGGGACAGAGAGGGGAGCTCTCAAAAAGGGTTCTGAGAAAGCCGCCTGCTTGTCTAGCAACCCTGTCTATCAAAGGCTTCCTGGGAGGTCTATCCTCAGGATGGGGACAGAGAGGGGAGCTCTCAAAAAGGGTTCTGCGAAAGCCACCTGCTTGTCTAGCAACCCTGTCTATCAAAGGCTTCCTGGGAGTCTTGGAGTTTGGAGGTGGGAAGTGGGCAGAGCCTTATTCAGGGTAATGGAGCCCAGGGAAAGTGAGGTGTTTGCAAGGGATCAGATGAGTGTAAGCTGTGCAAAGGCCAGGGTTGCAGAGGCCTGGGCTGCCAGGAGACCAGGGTTGCAGAGACCAGGGTTGCAGAGACCAGGGTTGCAGAGACCAGGGTTGCAGGAGACCTGGGCTGCAGGAGACCAGGGTTGCAGGAGACCAGGGTTGCAGAGACCAGGGTTGCAGAGACCAGGGTTGCAGGAGACCTGGGCTGCAGGAGACCAGGGTTGCAGGAGACCTGGGTTGCAGGAGACCAGGGTTGCAGGAGACCTGGGTTTCAGGAGACCAGGGTTGCAGAGGCCTGGGTTGCAGAGGCCTGGGTGGCAGGAAGCCCAGCTCAGAAGAGGCTCAGTCCTAGGATGCCTGGGTCTCTGACCTCACCCAGGGTTTAGGCATCATCACTGGCTCTTACTTACCTTACATGCAGCTTCTAGCCGCCTCCTCTACTTCTGAGGTTCTCAGCAAAGCCCTGTCTTTTTTAAAATGAGAGGTCCCCATGCTCCTTGGGTTGCTGTCTGTGTCTTCCTATGTCCAGGGTTCTGGCTTCCCCATCCCTGACCAGCCTCTAGCACATGCTCTTTCCCACCTGTGGGCATTTGTGCAGCAGAACCTTGGCTTACCCTTCAGACTGCAGTACAAATGTTTATTTTTTCCCTTCACTGTTCCAAATTATCATCTAGCACCTGGTGAATCTATTCATCTATGCATGCATGCACCCACTTACCCAGTCCATCCTTCATCTGTTCATGTATCTATTTGTGTATCCATCTGTGCATCTGTTTGTCCATCCGTCCATCCATACATCTACCCACCCATCATCCCATCCATCCGTCATCCTTCATCTAACCTTCCACCCTTCCACACACCCACCGACCCAACCACCATTTATCCATCCAGTTGCCCACTCACTCGTGCTTGCATGCATCAGTCTGTTCACTTGACAGGTGTACACACTGAGTGCGTACTCTGAGCGAGACACAAAAGTACAACAGTGAACAGGACAGAGGGTCATTTTAAGGAGACAGCGTGGCTCATTGGGTGTTACTTGGGAGGCCTCTATAGAGGGGAAACTGGAAGGCTGACTGGTATTGTGTCTACTTGAGCCCTTTCTTAATTTCCTTTGGCCCCTGAAACTAATTTGTTTCTTTGTAGCTGGGAGCAAATGACCTTTGTTAGTGCAGGCTGTGTGTGGACCGGAGAGAGGAACTTCCTCTCCACTACCCCAATGGGATAGTGTGTGTGTGTGTGTGTGTGTGTGTGTGTGTGTGTGTGTGTGTGTATTTGTCCATGTGTGTTGGTGTCAGGGTGTGGTTCCTGGGAGTGTGTGCTCTGTTCACTGGCCTGACAGCCCCTCTGGACCTCTGCTTCCAGGTTGGAGGTGGGCAGGAGGGTGCTGGTGGCCAGGTGGAGATCTTCTCCCTGAACCGGCCTTCACCACGCACCGTCAAGTCCTTCCCACTGGCAGCCCCGGTGCTCTGCATAGAGTACATTCCAGATCCAGAGGAGGAGGCTGAGGGTGCAGAGGAGAGCCGGGTGGCTGCCGATGCCTCGACGGCAGTGCACCCCACCGTCTGCCTCGGGTTGCAGGATGGCAGGTGAGGGGCAGGAGGATGGGTAGGGACAGCCTGTATGCCAGGCAGATGGCTGCAGGTAGTCCCCCCAGCTCTGTGGGTCCCTAACCATGGCACTCTTCCCCAGCTTGGTGTCACCAAGAAGATGGGAGCTGGAGACAGCCAGTCTAAGTGTCAGGAGTGGCTTATGTCATAGCTGGCAGCTCCCCATGCCTCTGGCACCCCTTACTGGCTGTGCATCCTTAGGCACACCATGTCAAGTTGGGTTCTTGTCCGTGGTGAAGCTTAGGAGTCCTGCAGTCCATCATGTTGTCATGTTGCTAAGTCTCAGGTTCCTGGGGGGTCGGACCCCCCCCCCCCCCGCAGGGCTGTGTGAGTACAAGAGGGCCATCCCACACAATCCCGAGAAGAATGTCCAAAAGAGAAGAGAATTCCCCTGCATCTCTGCTCTTCACCATATCTTGCAGAAGGACAGTGTGTGTCTGTGGAGTACCTACTGTGTGCCTCACACATACTGAGTGGGATCTTTCACAGTGACCTTGCAGTCTGAGGGCTATATTCATTCCCAGTTCCCACACAGGGAGGGGCTGAAGCTAGCATTCTAAGAAGTGGTGGGGAGTCACACTCACCTCCCCACAGTCCAGGCTGGGACTGTAGCCTAGTGCGCTGTCTGGGCCTGGACTTAGGAGAGATCTGGGGAACTCCTTTTGTTTTAGTTTTGAGACAAGATAAATTTCATGTATTACAATTTTAGGGGGCTGGGTAGAAAGCTTGCATAGCCTACACAAGGTCTGAGTTCCAATCCCTTGAACCCCAAACTGGGCATGGTGATTCATGTCTGTGATCCCCAGCACTTGAAAGGTGGTGGCAAGAGGATCAGAAGTTCAAGGCCATCCTTGGTTACATAGCAAGATCGAGACCAGCCTGGATCACACTGAGACCCCAATTCAAAAAACCAAAATGAAACAAATCACCGTTTTGCCATTTTAAGGAATACAATTTGGTGGTTCCTGGCAATCACTGCCTACCTCCAGAACATTCTCATTACTCCCCAAAGAAGCCTATACCCATCTCATCCCCTCCTTGGAAACCGCTGATCATCCTTAGCCTCTGAGGGCTTGCCCTCAGGCATGTCCTATAAATGACATCTAGTCCCTCATGGCCTCTATTCCTGGCTTCTCATCACTGTGTGCATGCTTGCAAAGCAGGCCCGGGAGTGTTGTCATGCTTTGTTCCCTGATGGCCCTCAGGTGGGCACCATGGGTCACTTGAGGAAGAGAGATGAAGGTCAGCACTCTAGGTTAGCAGCCAGGAGTAGGTAGTTGGATTTGAACTCAGGCCCGAGTGGCATCGGAATTCAGCACTGTTCTCATTGTATTCTAGAGCTGGAGTCGTGACTTGTGACAAGCCAGGCTCCTGTAGGAGGAACAAGGCTGGGCAAGTGAGGCCCATGAGTCACAGTGATATCATCTCTCTCCTCAGCATCCTGCTCTATGGCAGTGTGGACACTGGCACCCAGTGCCTAGCAACCTGCAAGAGCCCAGGCCCGCAGCCCGTGCTCTGCCTGCGGCACAGCCCCTTCTACCTGCTTGCTGGCCTACAGGACGGGACCCTCGCTGCCTATCCTCGGACCAGTGGTGAGGACTGCTGGGTGGGTGGGCTTGGGGGGGTGGCATCTGGGCACCAGGTTGGAGCTGGATCTTCTGCTGAGAGATTGAACAAGGCAATCCAGGGAGACAGTGTTGTAACCATCTAGCCTCAGACTGGAGGGGTTCTGAGACCTGACCTTCCTTGGGATCTAATACCAGGTTCCCACATGTGAATTCCTGTAGAAATACAGCACTTATTTCTCTGCCAGTAAACATGCTCTGGGGGACAGTGCTCCGTGGGCTGAGAGACTGAGGGTTGTGGCGTGGGAATCAAGACTCACTAGACTCAGTCCAGGTTAAGTGGAGTTTATTTGGAGAGATTACACTTACACAAGAGTTAGGCGGCTGCCACAGTTTCCAGCTCCAAGGATCCTTCCAGGCTGTTCCCGACCAGCAGCAAGAGCCTCGACCCCAGATCTAGTCCTCCCCCTGTCATGTCCTCACCTGTGACCACACCCAAATGGGCGTGGTCAGTGCTCCAGGTATGGGTGGGGGTGTACATCTCACTACAGAGGGTGGCCTTGGAAAGATCTGACTCCTTGTTCAGGCTCTGCCCTGTGACAGCCATGTCCCTCCCCTCCCCCAAGTAAGTGGCTTTTTCTTTGTGTCTTGGGTTCTTTCATAAAGTGAGAATCTGGTGGTGCCCACCCATCTTGGTTCTGGTGATAAAAACAACAAAGTGTAGACAGGGCACAGGCCAAGATGGGTGGTGAGAAGGGGAGGCACCTCTGGGCTGTCACTGCCAGAGAGAGCTGTTTTGGCCATGTCACTGAGCCTGACGTGGGAGGCTGGGCAGTGCTACGCGTAGCCCTGTACACCACACTCCAGCACTCCAGGAACAGTGTCAAGGATGTGCTGTGCCCTCATCATCTTAAGATGTCACCTCTGTCCCAGGCACTAGGACACTGAGCCTGGGGGAGGGAGGAGTCTCGCTCCTTCACAGCCAAGTGAGTGCTGTGCATGCTCCCTGAGCCCCAGGCTCACTTAGCCCCTCCCTCGCCTCCCCCCCCATTTGATGGTGTGGCAAGTGTGGCAGCCCCAAGGCTCTACAGCAGTCTCCCTCCACCCCCAGCTCAGCTCTGATCCCATGGCTGCGTCATCATTGCAGCCTGTTGCGGGGTTATAAAGGGATATTTGCAGTGAGGATTGGTTTTTTTTTTTCCTACTTGGCACTATGTTGGTATTTTTAATTAGCTTTTGATAAGGCATTTATAGTTTTTAATTAAAGGGGAAGAAGGGAAAAAATCCCTCTTACCATCAGACCGAGCAGAGCGTGTGCGTGAATGTAAATCCTGGCTTAGATGTGCTGGGGTATAACAAGAGGGTCTGAGGGGACCAGCCATCCTCCTGTGTACCCTGACACCACCCGACTCCAGCTTCATCCAGCCCTGGCTACCTGTAGGGGTGCTGAGGTGGGCGGAGTAGGGCTGCTGTAGCTAAGTACCACAGCTCAAACAGCAGAAGTTCAAGATCAACACTTTCACTTTTGTTTTTTCTAGACAGGGTTTCTCTGTATAAACAACCTTGGCTGTCTTGGAACTCACTCTGTAGACCAGGCTGGCCTCAAACATACAGAGATCCCCCTGCCTCTGCCTCTCACATGCTGAAATTTAATTCGTGCACTATGACTTTTGAGAAGGGTCCATTTTAGGCTTCTTCAGCTCTCAGTGACATCTTGACTTGGGGTGACATCACATGGGTCCTTACGGTCCCTGTCCATGAACCTTTGTGTCCCAATCTCCCCTTTTATAAGGATGCCTGTCACTCTGGGTTAGGGCCCCACCAACCCAGGGTCACTAATTACATTTGTAGGAATGCTGTCTCCAAGAAAGACTCCATTCCAAGGCATTGATGCAGGGTTGGGGCTGCAGTTCCTGATGTAGTTTTCGATTTAGCCATTGACCTTCAGCCTAGGCTTGGAGGCTGCTAGCTTGTCAGAATGGAGAACCCCTAGGGGTATTACACCTCATGCCCTCACTTTTGGGGGAGTCTTCCCTGCAAACATTTGCTCCCCCCATATGTATGAATACCTACTGTGTGCCAAGGATATGCAGGTCAGCAAAACAGACATGTCTCCTGCCCTTGTGAGGTTTAAAGTCTACACAGGGAGGTCAGAATAGCTATGTCAACAAGCAGGAATCTAGGGTCTCCTGAGGTAATACTGGGGTCACTGTTAGAGCCTGACTACCTAGTAGGGTGTATTCAGTGCCTGGGGCCCATCCAAAGAGGCAGACCCTAAAGATGAGAACTGAGAGAGAGGTAGCCAGGCAGGTGGCGAGTTGAGGGAACAGAATTTGGAGCAGAAGGACCAGTGTGTGTGAAGGCCAGAGGCAGGAATATGCCTGGCATCAAGGGGGCCCCAGAGACCAGGCTGCAGAGCTAGCTAAGAGCCAGAGGGTAAGTGGCACTGGGCAAAGTCTGGGTACGGACAGCTGCTGTGAGGACCTTGAGTTTGTCTCAGCCCATTGGGAAGGGGAGAGAAGCACTACAGAGCCTAGACACTGGGCCCCTTTGACAGGAGGGCAGGTGCGCCTGACACAGCACCTGCTCTAGGGTTCCATTCTCTGGGTGTCTGTGGCTCTTATGGCCTCTGAGAAGTCTTCTCTTCGCCAGACCCCCAGTCGCCCTGAGGTACCCCAAAGAGGTGATCCCGGGCCTGAAGCCAGACCTTAGAACCACAGCACCACGCGGTTTAGAAGAGGCTCCAGAGGCTTCCTTCTCTGTGCTGCCCCTGGGGCCAGCCTCAAGGAACCCTTCTAGAACCTCTCCAGGGTGCCCCTGGTGGCCTGGAGCGTCTGGGATGTGACTGCTGCATCCCGGAGCTGGTGTTGGATGAGATCCAGGGTGCCCCTGGTGGCCTGGAGCGTCTGGGATGTGACTGCTGCATCCTGGAGCTGGTGTTGGATGAGTTGTGTATAGCAATCTCCTTACCTGTGAAATGCTGCCTCCTGGCATAGCCAGATCTGGACCCCTGTGGGAGACTAGCAGGCTGTGTCATCTGAGGCTGGGGGAGGGGGAGGGATGCTGGCACCCTGAAGGTGCCTTTGCTGAGACAGGCCTTCATCTCTGCTGACCGGCTGTGCAGTCGGAGCCAACCTAGATGAATGGGCTGTCACACAGGGGCGGGTGTGAGCCTGCGAGTGCAGGTTCTGCACCGCGTGCTTACAGCTACCCAAGGGTTGGAGGGGGGGGCGAGTGGAGGGGGCAGCCCCCTGAGCCCTGCCCAGCCTCAGTAATTACCTTTGTAGTCTGTGACACTGGTAAAATTGGGGGCTGGAAAGACCTTAGAGGGCAGAGTCTGTCAAGAAAACCGAGTCCCAGCAAGGTCAGTAAGTTCAGGGTGCCCCTGTGGGCTCTGGTGGGGGCTCCTGGCCACTGTCCACTCTGGTATAAACCTATACTGAATTTTATCACAGTTCCTTGCTTTGGAGGGCTTCTGGGGACACCCACCCATGAAGGTGGGATGGTCAGTGTACATATGCCCCTTCAGGACTTCAGGGGCTGTGATGCTCTGTCCTTGCGTGGCAGATGCAAATGTTCTTCAGCCTTTGCTGCTGTGCCCTTGGGTGGACCCCAGTTCTCAGCCTCTGAGGTGCTACCCCAGCATCTTTAGCTCTTTCCCCACGTTTTCCCACCACACCTTAGCCGTAGTAGCAGAGGCTCCAGCATCTGGCCACAGACACTGCTCACTTGCTGCCACTAGGGGGCACTCAAAAGCCTTGCACTTCCCTGACTCTGGTGTCCCCGGTCCAGGGTCACATTCCTATGGAGGTCTGGCCCCCTTTTGGTCACCCACCCCTCCTAGACACCATTCCCAGCACAGAACTGGTAGTAGGGCTGGGAGGCACCCAGGCCAGACCCAGCTCTAAGTTTAAATGCTGCTTGGCTCCACAGTCCTTATGGGAGTTGCCCAGGTGCTCTACTCCGGACCTCTGTTGTCACCTTTAATTACATGGCGCCAGCATTGGCTTCTGTAGACTGTTGGAGCCAGTGAGCAGGGACGACTGTGCGGCTGTGTGACTTGGGTAATTGAACTTGCAGCATGTTAGTTATAAGTCAGGGCTAATGATAGTATCTGCCACACAGGCTTGTGGGAGGTAAAGAATTCATTCATGAGCAGAGCGACAGGCACACAGATGCGGAGGGGACTCAGTGTTGGCCACTGGCACTTTTTATCAGTGCCCCTCCCTTGCTGGGCTGGGTCAGCATACATGGTTCCGTGACTTCTTGCAGCATCTGAGGAGTGGGAATACATGGTCACCACATCCATTTTAGGGATGAGGAGACGGGGGCTCAGAGAGGTCAAGTCCCTGACCAAATGGACACGGGACTTCTGAGCCACAGAGTGCGCTAGCCTGGCCTGCTTGCTGTGTATGTGGTGGCTTACGATTTGAGCTGGAAGGAGTGGCAGTATGTATGGGAGGGGGCTCCCCAGATCTTAATTTATCATTTGGGCTGGGGGTATGAAGCCGGGTTCAGGGGAGGATGATAGTGGGGGGCACGCTGGCCGCATATGTCTAGGAGACAGGCTGAGGATTTTGGCGGCTTCTCCGTATAACTTAGGGTCCTCCATCGCTGGGGGACAGCCCTGCTCAGTCCTGCCATATAGCACTTGGCTCAGAGAAGGGTATGTCTGTGCTGAGAGGCTTTGTGTTCTTTCTGAGGAGAGGTGAGGGGGTTTGGGATACCCAGCAGCTGACTCTATCCTGCTTCCCTGGCTGCAGCCACTGTTGCTGTAGGGTGTGCACCTCCCCGCCCCAGACCCCTTGTTGGGCCTCAGCTCCCCTCAGACCTTCCTGATCTGTACCCTGACAGCCTAGGGCAATCACTGGGGCTTGGTGCAGCTTGAGAGAAGGCAGTGTCCAGCCACTGTGCTCAGGTGCCAGGGAGCGGGTCTCAAGAGCTAGCATGGCTGAGGGTGGGGAGAGGAGACACTTGTTTCTGGCCAGGCTGCTGCTTTGGTCTCTGGAAACAGCAGATGAGAATGCCACCTCTCAGAGCCTCTCCCCGCTGCGTCTGGTGGCATCTCTGGAGGGGGAGATCTTGGCAAAGGGACAGGAGCGTCATCAGGTGACAGACAGGGTCTGAGGGAAGCCCTGATGCTGTTCAGATGAGCTGGGGTCTCAGTGAAGTCCCCTCCCCCATCCAAACAGACTTTGAGAAGCAGAGGGGAGGTGCACTCAAGGCCCTTAGAAGAATCAGGGCCACTCTGGTTCCAAATCCCCAAACTCTGGGGTCCTGCTACCTCCTGGCAGGCACTAGTGTGGAGGGCGCCTCTCCCAGAAGCCCCTGTGTATCCATCCTCCATGTGTATCTGTTACTCGGTGTTTGGCTCATGAGCCAAACTGGACTGGGGGCTGCCATCTCTACCCAGGACCTAAACCTGTGCCTGTCTCTATTCTCAGCACCCAGCTCATGGCCCAGATGATAGTAGGTGCTTTCTGAGTGCATGTGGAGTGACTGAATGAGGGAGAGATGGGGGGAGGGATGAAGAGAGGGAGGGAGAGAATCAGGGAAGGAGGGGAGTCTAGGGCGACCCCCAGGTCAATGGAGTATAGTGTCAGTCACCCCAGTGAAATGGAGGTGAAGGGCCATAGTTGGAGAGGGCATATGGAGCGACTGAATGAGGGAGAGATGGGGGGAGGGATGAAGAGAGGGAGGGAGAGAGTCAGGGAAGGAGGGGAGTCCAGGGCGACCCCCAGGTCAATGGAGTATAGTGTCCGTCACCCCAGTGAAATGGAGGTGAAGGGCCATAGTGGGAGAGGGCATATGGAGTTAGCCACAGGGTTTCAGCCACTGACCTGTGCCCTTCTTTCCCATAGGTGGGATTCCCTGGGACCTGGAGAGCCCTCCCATGTGCTTGACTGTGGGCCCAGGGCCCATTCGCACGCTGCTGAGCCTGGAGGATGCCGCATGGGCCAGCTGTGGGCCACGGGTCACTGTATTGGATGCTGCCACTCTGCAGACTCAGGTACCCATAACGGGGCTTATGACCACAGCGTCCCTCCTGGGCAGAGACACAGCTATATAGTGGCCTGTGCTCTTTAAGTAGAGGTAAAGATGGAGGCCAGCTGTGTGTCTCTGCTGTTGGCCTCATGGGCTATGCCAGGCTTGCCTGTCCCACCTTGCCGCATCCTATGTGTTCCATCCTTAGTGGCTGATGTGAGCTTTGTGGTGGCTTCCCAAATGGTATTTTGGTGACATTTGCCATTGATGATGTGTTTGAATTATTGATCTGATCAGATATGGCGCCAGACCCAGAGGGGAGCCTGGCAAAGGTCCCCAGACAGGCAGGCTCCTCAGGGTTGTACCTTGTGTGGGCCAGTTTTCCTGTCTCCACTAGGTTCTCTGTCTTGGACACCTCTAATTTGTACTTAGCTCAGGCACTGGGCAGAGCTTGGTGCTGCTAGCTTGTAGGTGGTCAGGACAAGGTCCTGGAGGGCTCAGTCCTCACAGTCTGCACATGGGTTTATGACCAGTTGTCACTTGGCCAATGAACACCTTCATGCTGGCCCCATGGGAACACTGATCCATGAAGGGGGGTGACATATGTCCTCCCTGGGGTCCTGTGGCCCCCTGTAGGAGGCAGAGCCAAGAGGTCCGTAGGTGACCTAGGTGAGGAGGCTCAAGTAGGGGTGGAGGCTGAGGCAGACTCAGGAGCCACAGGCACAGGAGAGACAGGGTGTGCTTTAGTCTGACACACAGGTCTGAAGACCAGAAAGTCACTAGGGCAAATGCCAGTTTGAAGCTGGCCTTCCGAGGACCCCAAAGCGCTGAGGTTTCTGCCTGGTTCTGAAGGTGGGAATATCTTCCATCTCTCTTAGCTAGAGTCAGAGAGCACTTCTCCCTTCTCAGCTGTGGTGGTCACTGGACCAGGTGAGGCCCCCACACTCTGGTAGGTCATCTGTGTGACTCTGCCTACAGGTCAGATCTTCCCCGTATACAGAAACACCCTCACAGACATGCCCAGAATCATACCTTGGCTCAGTCAAGTGATTGCCTGAAATGACACTGTGTGTCCCATGTTGAAGGAGCTGCAGTACCATCCAGCACCATCAGGGGGCGATGTGGGGGGGACATGGTAGGAGTTGGATGACTGACCATATGCCAGCCAACATCAGAGAAAAAAATTCTCAGAGAAGTATGAGACTTCAGTCAAGGCACCAGCATCATTTTTGTATCACAAAGGATGTGGGTGTATATGTGTACATGGGTGTGTGTGATATGTTATGTATAATGAGCCTGTGTGTGTACAACCTTGGGTGTCATTCCTCAGGTACTGTCCACCTTTATCTTCGAGACATAGTCTTTCTGATCCTGGGACTCATCAGTTAGGCTGGGCTGGCTGACCGTCTTCCCTGGGATCTGCCTATCTCCATCCCACCTCCACCCCCAGCTCTGGGATACTAGCTGTGCCACCGTCTTGGGTTTTTTGTTGTTATTTTTTAAATATGGGTTCTGAGGATTGAACTCCTGTCTGCATACCATGCCATCTCACAAGCCCCATGCTGCCCTTTGTAGAGAGAAAACTAGGAGTTCCTTGACTGCTCTCCTGCTGTCTGTCCCATTCAAAGGCTACTTGAGCATGGTGCTGAGGACCTGTGACCTCCCTGGGCTGCTGAGCCAGACCAGAGGCTAGAGAGGTGTGGCCAATGAGATCATAGCCCCATTCCCCTGACTTCTTGTTTTCCTGACGGTGGGGAGGGGACCTAGTGACTGTAACTACAGACCCTCTTCCTGCCCCCACTACTGTACCCCCGAAAGCTTCCCTGCTAGGACCCTCCATCATTTCCCTTCAAGGCCCTGTCACCTCCTCTACTTTGTGAAAGGAAGGTGGGTGAGGTCAGCTGATGCTCCAGGCCTTATGGCCCCAAAAGCTGTTCCCACAGAAGTCTCTTTCAGAGAGGGAGTCCTCTTTCCAGGGAGCCGAGGATGGTGGCCGCTGTGGGGTTGGGGATCAATAGGCTTATAGCTGGGGAAGTTGGAAGTTGGGCTACCTCCCCCGGCCTCCCTGGCTGTCTTGTAAACATGAGCAGTGGAGGCTTCTTAGAAGGGAGAGCTGGCAGGGTTGTCAAACGCAGCAGTCTCACTTCTGTCCCAGCCACTGGTGGTCCATCTCTGTTGGTAGGGTAGCCTGCACCCCTGGAGCGAATATGGTTTGTGAATAGCACTGGTTAGGACACTGGTTTTATGACCTTGGGGAACATTCCTGTGCAGTGGTTAGACATCCATTATCCTTGTTTGACTAGCTCCCTGACTTTTGGCTATACGGAGCCTAAAGGGTCAAACTGCTTGCATAGACTCAGGTGTCAGTGGTGTGGGCCTTGCCAGCCTCTGTGGCCTGCCTCCCTCTTGCTTCATGGGAAGAGACTCTATCCCTTCCTGTCCCAGGAGTGTGAGCTGGGCACAGGAGGTCTGTAGAGTCTGTAAGGGCTGTTCTCACTAGGCTCTGACCCTCCAGGGTCATAGTGTTTGTAGTCTGGCTCTGGCCAGACTGTCTCAGGGCTCCAGGGACCTCCTGGCTCCTGTGAGGCTGTGGTGATTTAAGATTAGTGCTGGACCAGCTGCTCTTAAGGCAGGGTCAGTATGGCCTTTCACCTACTGTGTACCCTGGGCAGTGAATCCAGAGCCACTGGCCGGGACTCCAAACAGGAGGGGCTGGAAAACCAGAGGATGAGCGTTCAGGGCTGCTGGGAAGTTTCTATGCAGGTGGGTGGTAGCTCACTTCCCCCTCCCCCATAACACGCCACAGTAGTAGCTCAGTTACAAGATCACACCATGTATATTTAATAGAGCCGGCCTCCTGCCTGAACGGAGGGGAGCTGCCCGCTCTGGCATTGTGCATTAGAACTGGCTCCATCTAGATGCTACTAATGATCACAGACTGTGTCCTGGGCTAGCTGGCGCCACACTTGCCTCTGGGTCCCTGGCGAGACTAGCCAGTCCTGGGGAAGCCTCCAGAGTGTCCACACATTTCAGTCTGTGGTTGTGCTGAGCCTGGGTTCAGCACCTGCAGGGTCTTCAATGTCCTAGCATGGTGCTGGGTTCCAAGGGAGCTCCCTGTAACACCTGCCTTATGCAACCTCCCCCAGGGTTGAGGAAGGCCATGGGGAGTGAGTGAGCATTCTGGAAACTTAGAGCCAGCTAGCAAGTGTCCCATGCTAGAAGACCTGGCTGTACAGTTCTCATGGCTGGGGTACAAGGTGAAGATACCAGGGCTAATCTAGGTTGTCTCTATGCCCAGGAAGTGACAATGGACTTTGGTGGACTTGGCCTGGACTTATTTATTGATTGCTTTTTTGAGACAGAGTTTCTCTGTGTAATAGTCCTGGCTGACCTGGAACTAACTTTGGAGACCAGGCTGGAGTCCAACTCACTGAGATCTGCCTGCCTTGTGTAATAGTCCTGGCTGACCTGGAACTAACTTTGGAGACCAGGCTGGACTCCAACTCACTGAGATCTGCCTGCCTCTGCCTCTGCCCCTGCCTCCCAACTGCTGGGATTAAAGGCGTGTGCCACCACCACTGAGACCTAGGTATTTTACATATATGAACTTATTTAGTCTTTAAGCCACCTTCTGATAGGGGTACTGTTCCTACTTAAAAGACGAGGAAATAGACACAGAAAGGTTAAGTAATTTGCATGAGGCTATCCAGCTAGAAAAATGCAGAGTACAGGGTTTGAGCACAGGCCTTATTGGTCTTAATTCCCAGACTGCCTGTCTCTTCTGGGATGTCACTCCGGGGAACCCCATTATGAGCCTGCCTCTTTCACTATTGCACCTTCCAGGTCAAGGATTGTGCCTTGGTGACCCTGTGTCTGGTTCATTGGTGGTGACAGGATGTGCCAGTTAGGAGACAGTCCTAGGGTTCAGGTGTTGGGTGCAGAGTAGGCCACCAGTCTCCAGGTCCTCAGGCACTTAGGGGACCAAGACAAGCAAGACCTGGCCTCTGCTCTTCAGGGGTTCAGAGTGCATGGTGGAGAGAGACCAGAGCTATGGTGTTACCTGGCAGGGTGAGGTACTGGTGTAGCTAGAACCTAGGTAGGCAGGAGCAGTGCTAGATCTAGCTAGAGGGGACATAGGAGCTGGGAGTTTGGATCAGGGTTGGGCTTGACTGGGGAGGTATTGGGTGACATGGGACAGAAGAGGGGAATAGGGTGTGGGTTGGTAGGAAACAGCAGGAGTCAGGCGCATGTCCCAGGAGCTGGAGGCATGCATGATGCCATGTGGCAGGGCAGTGGGCGTGGATCTGGGCAAGGGACCACTGAACTGAGGACTGTTTTCGCTGGCCTGTTTGACCGGGTCCCTGCCTCTGCCCTGACCTTGTTCAGCCCAGGCCCCATGGAGCGGAGACACCACTGCCTCTGGGTTTTCCGATTACCACCGATGCTTGTTTGGCTCCTTGATCCCAGCAGAGGCGGAAGCGAGGCCTGTTAAATAATAATGTGGCTTACAGGGGCCTGTGTCAACACCGCGTCCTCGTGTTCATTATCTGCATCGCCACCTTCCAAGTCTAATCCAGTTGTCTGGAGTTCATTCGGAGCGATGGAGCAATCGCCGGAGGGGGAGCTGACTGTGGGGTGATTGTTGCATCTTAATTAAAAAAAAAAAAAAACCAGTTGGGGACACCAGGCCTGAGGCATGCAAGGTGTGCTCTGCTGGGGTGGGGTGGTGGGGTATCAGGCAAGGTTGCTCCTACATGAGTGGCCAGGGGTTTCTCTGCCTCCTGCTCATGCGACAGGGAGGCGTGGTGGGGACAGGACTGGGCTGTGAATGTCCTTGAGTTGTCAGATCCGTGTAATGCTGCTGAGAGATGAACTGGCTTGGTGAGTGGATGGGTACCAGTCAGGAGCAAGCCCTTTTCTTTTGTTGTATTTTAAAGATTTAATTTTTAAGGTTTTTCAATTATATGTATGCACACGTGTCTCTGTGTGGGTGTGTATCATGGGTGTGGGTGCCCATGGAGGCCG